CATGGAAGGTCGGACACAGTAATTGGGCATATGCCTCGACGTCCATCTAGGGGCATGGCAGGGCAGTCAAAAAAGGCTTTGAGGCTATAGCCTTGTAGAGTAAAACAGAACTTAAGCCCTAATACGGTGGGGGCTATTTCCTAGGGCGGTTGGAGGCTTACAACTTTCATGAGGTAGCCTCTTTGTTTTGGGCAATATGATACCTCTTTTGTCAATTATTTCTTATTCACAACGTGAAAAGCTTAACAAAAAACGAAGGGGATGCTTAAGAGGTTCGCAACTCTTATTTATGACTTTTTGATGGGCCTTTAATCCACCAGAATATATGAACTACAATAAGGAATATGTCGCAGACAATATCGACAAATGAAGCTAGATAATACCCTTCGTATATCAAGAACGCTATCCCCTCTCCAATCATGGCGTCAACTCATGGGAAAGCCACAACCCACCTTCCTAGGGAACAAGTGGACCATGGACCATGATCATGGGAGATCATGGGATTGCCTTCTTGTCCTCTAACCCTAGCGCCTCCCTCACCTGCCATCATGGTAGATTGGATCCTCATTCTTGGGTCCAGTCAACCCAACCCATTTTGCATGGATTTCACCCCCTTAATAGTTCTGTAAACTTGGATCTTTTACTCTTTTAAGGCTAAGTATAAATATTAATTACGGAATGGACATGGTATATTGGGGCTAGTATACACATTTGGGTCGGTCTCAATATACCCATCACCTTTTATCTTTTACCCCGTAACACTAACTAATTTCTTTCAACTAATGTGGAAAGTATGAAGATTACACTCCGTATATGTTTTTTCTTCTCCGCTCAACATACCCGCAAGCATTCACTTCTTGATGACGGATTCCATTCATTACAAGTTGCTTGGTTTTAGACGTTTTGAACTATTGACACTTTAAGCATGATTTCCTTTATATGAAATACTCTTTATTCTAATTACCAAATTACTATTCTTCAACCAATTTGATTTGCCTGTAAGTATTTCTGCAAATGAAATTTACACGAATGAATTACATAGTAATTTGCTACTTTTAGTCCTCCAATCCCAATGTGCGGGCTCTGCCATTGATACAAGCATAAACTAGGGATTCACGTGAAGTCTAGTTTTCATATATGAGTGGATTTGCATATATGGGTGGGTTACTACTTACATTCACTTTAACTAACCATTGTAACTTTTGTGATACATCAAATGTTGACCGAATGTAGACATAATGTAGGTCCATATTACTAAACGTGAATGGAGGGAGTATAATAATAGATGCATAATGCATTTGCAATCAAATTAACTCTAAAAGAAAGGGATGGTATAAGCAAACTCATATTATTCAACCTCGGCTGGTTCTACAGTACGGACGCCATTTCCATCAGCTGTGGAGCCTTCTTCTTCTCCTACCTGATGTGATTCAGACTCAGACATATAGACCAATCATAGCCTTACCACAACAACCTAGATGGCATCTGAAAGATTGAAAAATGATTCAATCTGGCCAAAATATGAATCAAATTTCAAGAATGTTCAAAAACAAAACACACTTTTCAACCAGGAAAAAACTATCAAAACCCTGAAATAAATTTAAAAAAGAACAAGAAAATTGCGAGATAATCGCAAGTGCAAACTCATCATACCTGGAAAATGGGGCGCCAATTGGGTTTATAAGAATGGGTAAAGTTGGGATTTGGTCTGGGGTGTCGAGAATTTTGAAGAGGAAGACGATGGCGGTGGATCTTGGATGAATAAATGCAGCAGAGCTATGAAGAAAAGGAAAAAAAAAACTTCGAAGCAATTGAGCTGCCGGCATTTTATATATCTGAGCGTTACTTTGCAGGCAAAATGACACTTGGGCGTACGAGTTGTCTCTTCTTCATTGGTGATGGATGACACGAAGAAAAAAAAAAAGAGACCTTTTTACTCACCTTTCTTACAAAAAACAATTTTGATATTTCCAGATATCAGAATTCTTTTTAAATATTTGGTAAAGTCTATCGAATTCGATATCTCCAGATATCATATATATTCTTCAAACGTAATGTTTTGATATCTCTCAAATTTGGGAAGTATCAATATGAGGGGTTGATATTTTTCTCAATGATCATTTTCCGTCACCGGCTACCATTGTCATCGCCAACCACTCCCATTACAGGTCACCCCCTCTTATCACTAATTAAATCATAATTTTAAATTTCTTCAAACAAATTCGTTTCAGATTTCAAAATTTATATGTTGACTGGACTTTGACCGCTGACTGTCCCCGTTGACCGCCACCGCCGCCAGTATCCCCTTCCGGCGTCCGCCCCCCCCCCCATCCGCCGCCACCTGTTGCCGCTGACCAGTGGTTGACTGATGTTGCTGTTTTTTTTATTTTTGAAGTTTAAAAAAAGAGTGAGTTTTGGTTTTCAAAGTGATGAGTTTTACACTTTTACATTGGCAATTGGTGGGCGTTGTATATGGCAGTGGTGAGTTTTACGTTATCTGATCATCTTACCACAAGGTGTCATCTGACTGGAGTCGATCCCTGTATACACACACATAATATTTGTTTTTCATTTTGGTACATGTAAAAATTAAATCTTTAATATATGGAGAATTAAATTTGATTTTCATATTATTCATAAGAAATTAATTATATACAACTTTTTAATGATTTTTACTTTTGATTTTCTCATTTCATTTTTCTTTAAGTTTTATATTTTATTTATATTTTAAAAAAAAAATTTAACTTTTATTTTTTTACATATATTATTGAATTAATTATCTTTCAAGAAAAATAATTAAAAAGTAATTAATTTTTCTAAAACCAAACAATGGTTTTAATTGTTTGATTAGGGAGCACACTATGGATAAGAGTATAAAACTAGAAAAATACTAAAATACGAGTCATATGACTTTTAAGAACAAAAGAAAGAGTTTACACGTTTGCTACACTGCCACATAGCCCATACTCACCATATTATCATATTATATGACGCACACTATCACCGTCACACTGCCATCTGTCGCCGTCGGCCACCAGAGTCCCACCGTGGATCACCGACGTTTGACTGATCACAGTGACATATTACACTGTCATTAGTTTTCCATCACATTGTCAATGCGTACTCTTTCACCACACTGTCATTATACTTATATTTTGTTTTTAAAAGACTTAGGACTCCTATTTTGGTATTTTCATACTTTTATATTCCTATATAGGAAGATTTCTTGTTTGATAAGTCAAAAAAGCGAAAGTTAGTTAAATCGTCCAAAAACTATCCAAAAAACTGTTTTTCAAACACAGCCCATGAGTATTTTTATTTTTTAAAAAAATATGTGAGACGTATTCTGTTTCTTCCTACATTATTCCATTTTTTGTTTTTAAAATCATTATTTGATTTTAAAAATCAATTGAGTGCAACTATGCAAGGAATTATCAATTAACCTTTTGGAATGGTTTGAGTTTATGTTCAGTGAAATGCATATATCCTCCTCATCCATCCTCTTTCAAAAATACTTCGTTTTATTATTTAGAATAGATTTTTTTTTCAAGAATTCAAATTAAATGCATTAGTGTTCTTGACTTTTTCCCAACTTGATCTTACATGAAAATTATAAAGTTTTAAAATTGTACTCCCTCTTGTTCTAAAAATATTTTCTGGTTTGATTTTTTTGTCAAACAGTGACACCCTTTGACTACAAATTGTGCAAAAAATATATTTAATTATAATGTAAATCTAATACAATTAGATTTATCTTAGGATATAGTTTTGGTGTATGTATCAAATTTTTATGTCACCAATTAATTAGATTATGTTTAATTTATTATCAAAGAATGTCACTTTTTGACTCAAAAAAGTCAAAACAAGAAAGATTTTTAAGATCAGAGGGAGTATGAGTAAAATTTATTTTTAAGAAAGTGAATAAAAATTTGAACCCTGTAAGAAATACTTGTTTTCCTAAATAGAAAATGAAAAATATTTTAAAGGGACGAATATAAAAGGACATGCATGTGATAAACATGAATAAGAATAACCTTAGGTTATTTTTGAAAAATAACCTACATAAAAACTGAAATTCACTTTTTCTATAGTCTTCAAAATTTTGAAAAATGACCAACATAACGTTTTCCCATAATACTTTAAGCATATGCTTATACTTCTTTTTTCTATGTTGTTTTCAAAGAGCATGTTCCTCCAAAACCATATATACTTTCATCATCTAAAAATAATTATTTCACTTTGATTTCAGAAAAATTAATACGAAATACTGTGTTTGGTTTAATGAATTTGAAAGGAAAAATGCAATGAAAAATAATTTTTTATATTTTGGTTAGAAAAGAAAAAAAGATGAAAGTAAAAGAAAACGAGCTAAAAGGATAGATTTTATACTCTAATACATACGGAACATCGGTTTATTTTCTTTTCCCACTCAAATGCCTTGAACCAGACGTGTTAAAGATCAATTTTCTTTACATATACTCAATTTGTCTTTGTATATTCATCTAGTTTGACTTTTTTTAGTCAAATAAGACGAACTTTAATCATCGATTATTCTCAATTCGTATTACATATCAATACAATGAAATTAAATTTTAAAAGTTTCAATAAGATAAATCTAATAAAAATATTTTTATACTACTAGTAATTTACATTACCATTTTTATTTATTATCCAAAATTCATTCAGTTTGACTCAAAAAGTCAAACTAGAAAAATAAACTAGATTCGAGGTAGTAATTTATAAAAAAAGAACAATTGGTCAAGTTTGAAATAATACAAAATAAATTACTTTGTACTCTGTATTTAATATGATAGACTTTATCTCTTCTGTAACACTGGAAGTGCTCCAAAAACATAGTGGCATCGCTAGTGGCCAGTGCCCCCGAAACCGTGCCCAAAATATAATATACATTGTGAAAAGCAAACATTTCAATGTTTCACAACATCAACACTTCCTATTTGAGGAAAAAGTCTTTTTTAGTATATGTTTCATGTTTTAATTTTATTAAAGTACATTTATTAAGACACAAACAAGCAAAATGAAAGTAAGGCAAATGTTGGGACATTGAAGAGATTTGCAAGTCTCATAACTCCAAATTTTCATATCATTTACGAGTTAAAAGAAGATTCAGTACACGCCACCACAGACAATAACAAGGGGGGCTGTTTAACAGATTCTATTTACATGGAGAGAGATCAAAGGGCTTTTTTCCTATATATATATAACCATACCTCTTCTTCTTCTTCTTCTTCATATTAAATATTCGGAGTACATCAAGAAAAGAGCGTCGGGGTAATCCTTAGGCAGGCTCTTGATGTAGAGGTAGAAACGCCGCAAGTCCTCCTTGGACACGGCATCGGGGTCCACCACGTCGTCGCTGGACGTGAGGACCCACAAGTCTCTCGACTGGACTCTCTTCAAGCTCCCGCGGCAGAACGGGCACGACTCTGATCTCGTATTCCTGCCCATTCCAGGAAACGGGTTACAGAAAAAGGACCACGATGGAATCATAGAATGTACGTACGATAGGGTAGAGTGGGCATTCACACGGTACCGGTCCGGGTAGGGGCAATATGGTAAATGTTTCATATACAAAAATGAGATCGTAAACGTTTCATACTAAGATAAGACATATAATGCCAAAGACCAAAGTTCAATATGAAATGCCAACACATAATGCCAAACGTGGGTTTCGCAATGTCAACCTTCTTATTTAGAGGACAAAACATAGGTCTTAATATGGTATAAGTTTCATGCTTTAATTTTATTTAGGTAGATTTCTATAAAAATAAGATTGTCCACCCTATGATGGGCCTCATTAACCCATTATTCTTTCTTGAAATTTCCGATGTGGGGTACCTAAACGGAAACAAATATGGACAAAAGATATACAGTTGGAAAAAAGAAAAGATGGGAGAATTCAAGTACCAATCGCGATAGCAATTCATGCACAAGGAATGGCAGCAATTAGGCAAGACCATTTTGGTGCAAGGCTCTAAGCATATTCCACACTCGGCCTCCCTCTCCCTATCAAAGTCCGCAAATTTCGACCCCCCTCTCAATCTTTTCTTCCCAATGCTTTCCCGGGCACGGTTTTCATCCTTCGCGTCTGTCCTTAGTTCCACCAAGTCAAGATGGAGCCGGCGGAGCGTTGGCAATATCACAGCTGTCATTTTAATGATGTTGGTAGAGAGCAATGTAAGGGTCTGGTGGGGGAAAAACATTAAAAACAATTTCAAGTGTTTGTTTGTTTGTTTGTTTTCATTTACACGAACCGTAAAAATCGCTAATAGTTGCCTTCCTTCCGTGCCTGGATAGCTTTAGTCTTCCTTCAGCATCTACCTGGCAAAGATAGGAAAGCTTAACTCATGACTAAGAATTCTTCTTCTTCTTCTTCTTGTTTAAGGAGAAAGTCCTTGAATTAAGGACATTACCTTGTAAATAAGGATGTAGATAGGATCGAGGTACTTGAGAAGAAGAAAGGAGCAGGAACAATCAATCCAACGGAGCAAAAAAAGAAAAACGGGGGCAAATTGATTGTAGACCAGTTCCATTTGAAGGCAAGATCTGCCTTTCTGTCTTGGAATTGCAGCAGCTCTGCAATGCCGGAAACCATTGTGACAAATTAGGACAAAATCACATATTCATCCCATCCGAACCCCCCAAATCCTAATGAAGATAAGAATTGTGTGTTTGTGATTGAAACCAAATCAACAACAACAACAAACAAACCCATAGAATCCCACAAAAGTAGTGTCAAGGGAAGGGTGTGCCTAAGGAGACCTTACCCATACTTGAAAGTAGAGAGACTATTTCCAAGATGCCCCGACACAAAAAACATAGATAGGGTAAAGTAAAGAAACAAAATCAATCAAAAAAACCAAGATTTTTTCGCATCACGTGGTAAGTTTAAGTATGTTTAATCCAAATTTGTTATGACCATTTCAGTTCTAGCAGACCTCAATTTCCATATTAATCGATTGAGAGGGCGTTTGGGTGTGCTTAACTTTCTTGAAAAGTGATTAGAGTACTTTGACAACAAAATCTAAAAGCACCAAAAAGGTATTTCTTTGATTCTACTTCTCCGTCTTTGTAAGAAGCTGATAATCGAAGACCTCCAAACATTTCAAACTGGGTTTATCCAAAACAAAAGCAACTGAAATCATTTTCAAAATCAGTCCCAAACAACCTCTAATTATCAACCATCATCATTTCTTCTTATTACCCATTACAGAACTCAATAATCAATGTATTGTAGATACCTCCAAAAAAGGTCAGACACATAGATTATCAAAAAATAAAACAATAAAAATAATGATAAGATAAAATTATTGTCCAGCTAATTCTAACCTAACAATCATCTGCTTCTCCCAAAAAAGGTCAGAGAAAATAGAAATTGACTAAAAGTCCAATAATTTCACAGGAATCCCCAGAAAAAGTAACCATAGATTGAAAAGGTCAAAAGCAACTTACAGAGCATTTGCATGTTGAATATCGGCTTCAAGAACTTTCAAGGACTCTTCGTATGAGTTTCTTCCAAGCTGATAAAGCATCATCTCCATATCTCCTCTCCCTCTCTCTCTCTCTCTCTCTCTTTGGTTTTCCTCTTCTTTCTTGAATTTGCAGTCAATCAAAATTCTTGGTTTTCGCTGGAGCAGGAAAAGAAGAAGAGTCCCAAAGAAAAGAATGAGTTTTTTCCCCTAAAAAAGTAATCTTTTTATGGTTTCTTGACTTGAAATTGAAATGAAATGAAATAAATACTCCAGAAATAAGAGGAAACCCCAATCTTCAACAAAAGATAACCTTTAGCAACAATATAAGACCAAGAATATGTCCGGGCATCTCAGCCAGGGGCGGCTTTGAAATATGACAGGTTTTGGGTTTGAAAAATGCCAGGAGTACACCATTTGGTGTACCCATTTGTCCCCCACCCCTTCCATTACCACATAAATGGGCAAGAATTTTAAAAAAAATTAAATAAATAAAAAGTAGATAAAAATGGGTGGTGGAGGAGGGAGTGAGGAACAAATGGGGTATACCACCCTACACCCTAGCATGGCTTTTTGGGTTTTCCTCTTACCGGTTTCCCTTTAGTAACCAAAGATTTACTCCGTATTTATAAAGGATGAGTAGACCTCACAATAATTGATTTAACTTCTTTTCTATCTTAGACCTAATCTGAAAATAATAAATTCTGAATAAAAATTTTATTGATCGAATTCGAAGATAACTGAACTTGAAATAACTCACTAAAAATGGGCCAAACTTGAGTGAACTCGACTTGCCCAACCTGCTAATGTATGAATTTTTTAAAATTATGTGTTTTAATATAGAAAATAATGTAATAAAAACAAATTTGTATTTTTGTTTTTTATTACTCATTTTTAATGTATAAATTTATATTTTGATACAGATTTTAAAGAAATCTCATAATTATATTTTTTTCAAAAGTGATGTATTTTTTTAATTTTTTTACTATTCATTACATATATTTTAAAACATATCTAAAAAGGAATTAAAAATTCAAATTAAATTATCTAAGAGGTTTAATATATGTATTTTGATATTTTATTATTTTTTAGTTCAATATATAAGTGTTAATATGAATTTAAATATTCTTAAAACAAATCTGATAACTCATTGGGTTGATCTGTACCCGATGGCACCAGGACATGAATATATAATTCTCGAATTGAACATAAATTTACCCAAACCCGATGTAACCCGAATCAAAAGTGATCAAAGCCGAACCCGATCTGACCGATCAATTTGCTANCCCCCCCCCCCGCCAAACACTGAAAAGAGGTAGAGTGGAATTTGGTGCAGATTGATACAAAAAAGTTGAGCTTGCGCCTCGTACTTGTAAAGACATTATGCTTACCATAGTTATCCATTAACGCAGTTGCTAGAAATCAAATTCAGGTTTTACCCATTTAACATTCTTTGTATTCGCCTACTGTACAATACCAACCGGCAAAATTTTTTTAATAAAAATATACGGAATAGTACACCTTGAAATTACTCCATAAATCGAAAATAACATTTTTATGTTTTTGTGTTTTTATCTTTAAAATAAGAGTGTCAATTTTAAAAGTACTCAAAATTAAGCATTGTGCATTTTAAAATATATTTTTGCTATTATAAATTTTATTTTGATATATAAAATATTTTTTGTTATTTTTTATTTACTTATATATCTATATGCTTGTTTATATACTTTATTTGTCCCGTTTCTTTTTACATTTTCAGTTTTATGAACTTAAAGAAAATTTAAAAAAATGAAAAGTACAAAATAAAAATTGATTCATATGAGAGAATTATTTTGAGTCATTACTTCTCTACAAATAAATAAAAGAGTTTTTCCCATTTACTCCCCAAAAGTTATGCAAATTCTTCATGAACTTTAAAATTTATATTAGTGATTCTTTATTAATTAAAAATATTATATTACATCAATGACCTTTTTGTGCTAGATTTGAGTAGAGCTGGCAAATCGGTCGGTCAGGTCGGGTTCGGGTTCGGTCACTTCAAATTCGGGTTATTTCGGGTTCGGGTCAGTTCGGGTTCGGATTGAGAACTCTATGTTCATGACCCAGTGTCATCGGGTTCGGGTCGACCCAACGGGTTATGACTTTGGTTTTTTAAATTTAAAATATCAAAAAAAGTATTAAATCTATAAAATTATTTTATTTTAAACTCTAAGGTAGTTTTTAGATATATAAATCAATATAAAGAATTTAAAAATGCTTATGTTTTAGAAAAACAATAAGATAATTATGCAATATCATTAAAATTTTGTCTGAAAATATAAATTTATACACTAAAAACGAGTAAAAAAGTGTATAATTTTAAAATATTCTTACTTTAGCGGGTCGGTCAGGTCGGGTTCGGGTTCGGTCGGATTTGACCCATTTTTAGCGGGTCATTTCGGGTTCGGTCAACTTCGGGTTCGGTCATCAAAACCTTTGTTCAAAACCCAGTGTTTTCAGGTCGGGTTTCGGGTCAAAAACAGGTCGAGTCACTTTTTGCCAGGTCTAGATTTGAGAATGCATCAATGGTCTGTTTGTTGAGCAGATTATATATATTAAAAAATAAAGGAGAGTATATATATATATATATATAAATAACTAATTGATCATTTATTTATACATAAAAAAGATAGACATGGTGGTTTTTGCGATCATGTACTTGCTGGCATCATAATCATGCCATTAATACAGAGTATTTGCTTTTCAACAAAACCATTTCAATATATTGTTGATTTAAAGAAGGTCATGTGTTATACTCCCTCCGTCCCTGAGGGTTTGTTCACTTTCATTTTTGCACACCATCCAATACACTTCTTTAATCCATTTTATCTTATAATTTGTATATTAAAAAATTATAAAAATTATATATTAATAATCTATATGTTAAGACGAATCAAACAAGATCACACATGACTATTTTTAGGCTTACACATTGAGAGAATTTGATGAGTCAAAGTGCTTAGATGAACAGTTCCAAAAGTCAAAAGTGGACAAACACTCAGGGACGGACCAAGTACGTAGTAATTAAATACTACTCCGTAGTATTATCATGTGGGTGTTTCTATATATTTATAAGTAGGTCAAAATTATATACTCCATTCGTTTTAAAGTATTTCTCTATTTTTTAATTTTTTACTTTGAGCTTAAAATAAATAAAAGTGATACTCCCTCCGTCCCTAAATATTTATCACATTTGTATTCCCGAGGCAAAATATCAGGTTTTTTCAATTCATTTTATTTACATATTGGTATAGAAATAAAAAATAAAATTTACATATCAAAAAGCTATATGAAAAGTTCTTCGAAATAAGAGGTGTCAAGAATATTTTATTTTATCAAATAACCAATGAAAACGTAGAAATAAACAAAAGTTCTCGCGACTGCTGAAAAAAGAAGTTTGGCAAATATTTTGGGACGGATGGAGTATTAGATAATGATACAAAAATAATTTTAAGAGATTTATTATATAAAATATTATTTTATCTAATAAAAATCCAATATACGGAGTACATTTTATTTAATTATAGGTCAAAGTTTGAAAACGATTGACTAAAAAAAGTCAAAACTGGACAAATATTCTGGGACGGAAATAATATAAGCTATTTTTAACTTATAACTTATAAGGCAATAGATGACGTGTCTATATGTGCTTAAAAACTAACTTATAATTACTTTCTTTATCTATTTTCGTTAGTTATTTGATAAAATAATATAGTCTTATCACCTCTTATTTTTTAGAACTTTTGATGGAGTACTTTTTAATTATATAAATTTTATTTTTTAATTTTACACCTACAATCAAATAAATTGATTTGAAAATAAAGTCGGTCAATCTTCGTAAACACAAATGGAAAGATAATTTTAGAACGGATGAAGTATTAATATTAGAGTAATCCTTTTATTAAACACTAGTACTAGTATTATCCTATAGTCCGTATGTATACACAGACATAGGGTAGTATATTTGCTCCGAGACGACGTGGAAAATACTAGAGGTACACCAAAATGTACTCCAAACATCTCCACCCCCTCCATCACCACACAAAAAAGGCAAGAAAATTTCAAAAAAAAAGTAAAAAATAAAAAGAAAATAAAATGAATGGTGTAGAGGCAAGTGGTGTACATTTGGGGTACACCTTTGGTATATCCCTAGCATATCCCTTTTTACATTGTAGTAGTATAGTTTCGTAGTGGAGTACCCTAATGTCACCTCATTTTTAAAGTATAGTTTTTAGTCACCCAACTTTTTCTTAAGCAATGCTAGGGGTACAATTTTGGTATATCCTAAATGTACACAATTTCATTTTTCACTATTCATTTTTATTTGTTTTTTTATTTACTCTTTTTTAATTTCTTACAAATTTATGTGGACAAGGAAGAGGGGTACATATGGGTGCTTAGCATTTTTCATTTTTCTTTCATTGCTAAACTGCTAATGCAGAGTCAGGATCGGAGCTCAATCGGACTAGATTTCACACCTTCCAGTACGTGTTAAAGCGAGTGTAGCAGCTCAATCGGAGGGTTTCATGGCTCCAGTCGCTCCTAGATCTGGAGACGCCATTTTCGCCAGCGTAGAACGAGTGGTATTGCAATTCCACATTTGAAAAAAAAGTTTTTTTTTTCTGTTGTTGTTCGTGTTAAACATGAACGTTTTGAATGTTTGTTTCGTATCTTTATTCCCTGATCCAGAACGCGGAGCTCTTCACTCTGACGTATGGCGCTATAGTGCGTCAACTGATCACTGATCTGGAGGAAGTCGATGAAGTAAACAAGCAGCTTGATCAAATGTACTTATTACGGAGTATTCTTATTGTTTTTGTTGTTGTTCTAATTAAAAATTGAACTATTTTAGTTATGTTTATCACATTTTTTAGGGGATTACAGGATTTGTTAATCAATGGGTGGAAAACCCCAAATAATTGATTTCAATTTATTTATTTTTTTGTAATTTTATGGTGTTTGAATCCATATGGTTTGTTCTATATGGCAGGGGGTACAACATTGGAGTTAGGCTAATTGATGAGTTTCTTGCAAAGTCAAATGTATCTAGATGCGTGGATTTCAAGGAAACAGCTGAAGTCATTGCCAAGGTGTCTTGTTCTTTAACCTTTTTCCCCCATCAATGTTGTTCATTGAGTGGTTTTTGGATCTGTCCTATGTGAACTATGATCTCTTTGATGTACATCCATCAGCATATCTTTTACGGAGTATTTTTCTTTCCTGAAACAAGTTAAGAAGTTTCTTATACTGGTCGTTTTTTACCTTTTGTAGTTCATTTCATTTTCTTTTCCATAAAATGAATGCTCTCATGTAGGCGGTAGTCAGTAGCTATGGCCTTGGCTAAGAAGATCGTTTTCGATTAATGTTAGCATTTTCGTTAGTTTTTTAATTGTTCAGGGTCGTTAGATAACCTTCCCAAAACACTAAAGCTAAATGGCGAAGCTGCTTCCAAACATACCCTATGTGATACTCCCTCCATCCCAAAATCCTCTCCCCACTTTCTTTCTGGTTTTGGACGTCCCACAATAATCTTATCATTGCTTTTAAGGATAGAAAGATGTGGCTCATATTTTTTCTCATTTCTCTACAAAAACTTTAACTGCACAATTTCACTTTTCTTAAACTTCATGTCATTTTCACATGGGAAGTTTATTTTGGGACAGAGGGAGTATTTGTTTTAGTTGCTGATGATATCTCATTTTTGGTTCCTAAACAGGTTGGTTTAAAAATGTTCTTAGGTATCACAGCAACCGTGACCAATTGGGATGCTGAGGGAACAACATGTAGTCTAATTCTAGAGGACAACCCGCTGGTGGACTTTGTTGAGCTTCCCTATACCTGTCAAGGTCTCAACTACTGCAATATCCTAAGCGGAGTTATCCGGGGTGCTTTAGAGATGGTAAGTTTGCTCTCATGTCTACATGTCATGCTATGCAATGAAGTTTTAATGAGCTGTCTAGGCTTCTCTTTTGCAATGTTTTTTTGATTTGTTTTTCCTTGCATCTGATTTACTAGAAACAATCCTTTTGGCCCGGTACCTGCATGTTTCATGATGTAAAAAGAGAATATGATATCCATGTGTGGGTGAACGTTGGTTCGCTTGATGAACATTGTTGGGTTAAGGCTCATGCATATGGTTACCCAATTAAAAGGCCGACGGTGTGGGAGTTCAAAATGAACATTACTTCTCACTTCAAAAACTGAAATTGTTCTTAAGACATTAGTATATAAAAGTCGGGAATGTATTGTCTTTTAAAAAGAAATAACACTGGCTGTGGTTCAGTTATATATTTATAATTCATAAAACCAATTGGAAGTAGTGTCATATTTATAATTCATATGCAGTATGAAATTAATGGTATCCGAACTTGGTTTAGACTGTCATCCACAACTGATATCGAAACCAATTGGACTTCGAGTCAAATACTCTACCCGATTACCAAATCAGATTGTCTGCAATCCAATTATCCTAATGGGAAAAATGAACTTCAGTGGTTTCAGGTTTTATAGATTGATTTAAAGTATACTGTGCTTAAGAAAGACATCGTCTATCACAAAGTACTGCACTGTTATTTTAAAATGTGATAATTATGAAATATGCACACTTTTGCCTTCATTACTAATGGAGCTTAAAGAGTCATTTTGACAATGTTTTAGCTTTGGTAAACAATGGACTAGAACAAAACGACAAATTAAACCTCCCTCGCTACTTACATTCTATGAAGTTTTGGGCAGTAAATGCATCGATATATCAAGGGTCTAACGGAAACAGGCTCTCTGTTTTTTAAAGGACCCCAAAGGAGTGGGAAGCACACTAGATTGTTGTTGTATTAGATGGAGACATTGGTGTGCTTGTTTTTTCAATGAACTGAACTTTCTAGATTTGCCAGGTGTCGATGAAAACCAAGGTCACATGGATCCGTGATATGCTTCTAGGGGACGATGTGTTCGAGTTACAGCTGAAATTGATTAAGCAGGTTCCTGAGGAGTACCCTTACAAGGATGATGAGTAACATGCTTCTTCATTTATGCTGAATATCATGTAAATGCAATTTGTCATGTTTTGTGGGTTGTCCTCATTAATAAAGTACTTTGGCATTTGACTTTAGTTTCCACCTTAGCCTAATCTGTTTTTTTCCAGCATCTCAAATATTTTGTGTTAAATACTAGTGTTGTTTCTTGTTTCAAGGTTTTCTTGCCTTCGTTAATGTGCGCACGTTACCGATTTATGGGCCACGGTTCTTCGGCATTCCTCGGAAATGCTCTCTCCAAACCATAGTATTCATAGTCTATGTCATTAGTATGTTTCAGACTATCTTGTAAATCAACTGCAGGTGTAGGCCCTGTTTGGCAAATTGTTACTGTACATGTTTCAGTTGTTTTAATACAGTAAATGTTTGTCTTGTTTGTGAGAGTTTTCTAAGAAAAAATGTTTGCAAGATGATTTTTTTGTTAGCGATTTGAGATTTTAAGGTAAAAGCTCTAGATGAATGGCCTGTTTGGGAATAGCGTTAACGATTAGCGTTAGCGTTTTAAAAAGGCTATGTACATGCAGCGTTTAGCGTTAGCGTTTTCAAAGTAATCTGCACTGTTAAAATTTTATTCAAGATGCTAACGCTAATCTCCAACGTTATTCCCAAACAAGCCCGAAAAAGTTATCTTCACAAAAAGCTCTTTGCCAAATATATCTATAATTAATAACTATTGCAATAAACGAGAGACAGAGTACTCCGTAGAATATAGTCAATATACCATGTCTTGTACTTTGCAATGGATTATGGAGTATGTTGTTTGTTTGTCTTTAAATAAAATTTTTACTTTTCTAAAAATTTTAAAGGAAATATGTGGCTCATAATATTACCTCTTGTAAATAAATTTTAGTAACATTGTTTTTAATTTTTTCAATGCTATTAAATTTTGTGAAATTAAAGTAAAATGTAATCCAAACTACAACTACCAAAGTTTTTCATCATGGTTCTTCCTCCACCATTTAACTACCTAAATCTCTATATCCATAATGTAATATATTTATACTTATAATGTACTTTTTTTTAATTGTTTAGCATATTCAAATATATTTGAGAACTTACCGAATCGGATAAACACATATTCATAGTCATATTTAAAAATGTAGCAAACATTTATATTCTCATCTTTATTCATTTTTATTCAAATACGAATTCGAACACAATCGAGACTCACCCAAAGTTGCATCCATATAATTTAGAAGATCAAGAATTTGCCAACTCCACTCTTGGAAGCTTTCAACAGCTGGCCAAGGTAAGATTGCCAATGAAACTGATATAATTCCACATTGATGTTTTTTTTACTTTGTTATATTCATGAGCTAACACCAAGTCTTAAATACATTCCCATATATTTGCTACTGTTAATAATCTGTAAACAAGTTGTTGTGCAGTTAAAGAAGAAGAAAAAAAGATTAGACTTGTTTATGGTATATAGAGAATGATCATCTTGCAGAAGGGACTATTGATCCACTGGAAACATTGGGGCTCTGGGGATCCAAAAAAGTCGTCAAGAGCGTTTTTCGCGAAGACTGTGTTCTTGAACTCCCTGCAGAGCTCGACTTGTCGGTCCCCCTTTCGATTTTGATTGCCTCTTGTATGGCCACGATGATTTCCTGCATTCTTGGCCGCGAGTAGCTGTGCCGTTCCACGCATTGAATCGCCACTTCTGCTATCTTCCATACCGTTTCAATCTTCACGCGTCCTACAAGTTTGGGGTCTATGACACTAACAACATCTCCCTTGTGGATCTGTGACCTCACCTGCAAATTGTTGCCTCTCATGAGTTAGAAAGGAATTGGTACAAAAAGAACAACAGACCCAGTAAAATCCTACAAAAAGTAGGGTCTGGGGAGGAGGAGGAGACCTTACCCCTACTCGAAAGTATGGGTAAGATACCCTGCTTTTTGTGGGATTTTATTGGGTAACATACCCTACAATACAAAGAGTAAAGAAATCATCCCAAATAGGAGTAAAACATACTCCGTAACGTTTATCCTCAAAATAGGAGTTCTATGTTTTTATCCCAAAATAGGATTTTGCACTGTGACATTACAACACTGTATAGTGGCATTCCATTGTATTTTTTTGGTATTATACATTGGCGTTATTGGCATTGTACTCCTATTTTGGGCATTGAAAGAGAAAAAGGAAATGATCCTACCCAGTGAACAAGGCTCCAGTCAGCTCCATATTGCTCGGTGGACACGGGCTTTCTACCAGAAATTAATTCCAGAAGTACGACCCCAAAACTGTAAATGTCACTTTTTTCTGTCAACTGCTGGCGCGCATAGTACCTTGCAGAGAAAACACGAAAGACATTGAGTGAGTGAGTGAGCCATATGAACAAAGTGTTTTTTTCCCACACTCAATTTCGTGTGTATTTTAGTCAAAATGAATAAATAAACTGTGTGTTTTTGACATCTCACATACTCAGGATCAAGGTAGCCTATGGTTCCTCGCGCCACACTTGAAACGTGTGTTATGTCGTCTTCAGTTTGCCTTGAAAGCCCAAAGTCGGACACTTTTGCTCGCATGTTGATATCTAGGAGAATGTTGCTGGTTTTCACATCCCTATGGATGATACTCGGGTTGCATCCGGTGTGCAAGTACTCAAGACCTACACAAGACAGGCTCAAACAAAATGGTTACTACTAACTTATGACTTTGAGATTTGTCAAAGAACCAACTCAACCAAAAGCTTAAGGTTGTGGTTGAAGGTCCAAGAATGTTTTTATACTCCCTAGGTCAGCAAGGCTTTGATACCATGTCAAAGAACCAGCTCAACCAATGTTTAAGAAAGGTTTTTATACTCTAACAAGATTGTTCTGCTTCTCGACAAAGAGAGACTACTAAGATGGTTTAGCTAACCTTTCGCTGCATCTTCGGCGATGCGCAACCGTTCTACCCACTCCAGATGCTTTTGATTAGTGGGATCTGCTCAACATGATATTGCGGTAAACAAAAAAGAGTAATTTATTATGGCAAAATGAGGAATGTTTTGAAGAGGGCATACCGTGTAAATGGTCCTTTAATGTCCCATTATGCATATATTCATACACAAGCATGCATTGACGTCCATCTTCATAGAATCCAATCAAAGGCACCAAGTTTCTATGGTGGATCCTTGATAACAGCGCAACCTGTGCATAGCCAACATGATTTTGAATCTATAATCTATAGCAAGAGATCTTTAATCTATGACAAAAGATCTTGGAAACACACCCTACTTCTATGAGATTTTTGTTGTAATACATAGCAAAAGATGATTATCTCATATTTCACCCCTTTCTACCATTATCTTATTGGCAATAGATTATCTTACGAACAGATTTTGACCTCTGTGAAGAACTGTTTGGTTCCATGACTTGAAGGCTCTGCCATTATTTTGACTGCAATTTCCTTGCCATCTCTCAATGTTCCATGGTAAACCGGCCCAAAACTCCCCTTCCCAATTCTCTTTGAATATTTTTCTGTTGCTTCTTCTATTTCAGCAAGTGAAATATAGCATGCCACACCATCATCCACTAATGACCCGCCGCGAGCAATGGAATAATTGGTTGAATGCTTTGTGCTGCTGGGCATATAGTTACCATTACCTGATACTAACACATTGATTGCCAGGGTAAAGATGATTGGTAAATTTTACTTACAGTCACGCGATTGTAATTGGCGGTGCATACCTTTGGTTTCAGTTCGTTGATAATAAGCTTTTTTCCTAAAGTAACACAATAGTGCGACACCGGCTATGAATACAATGACAAGAAAGGCAAGCACTCCTATTGAAACTTCAACTATTAGTTTGGTGTGTTTCTTGCTGTTTTCTCCTTGCCTTAACCGGGCATTTCCTTCGTATCTACAAAACGTACAAAGTCACATCTTGCTAGAATATAAAAACATTTCCTGGGTTTTTATTTTACTCCGACTATTATCTACTGTTACCTGAAGATTACTTTTCCTGTTAGCAACGGGGACGGAATTTCTCCAGCTAAGCTATTGTTACTTACATCTCTGCCACAACAAGACTAATAGCATTATTAGGGTGCAAGTAAAAATTTGTGCACTTCAAATGGAAGACATAATTTACATGCCATTATTATCTCCTCTTTTTTTTATGCTTCAAACATAAAGTTACCAAATAAAAAGAATCTAATCCAGGGAAGTATCAAGAACAATGCATACAGTTCCTGTAATTTTGGCATGCCTCCTAGGAAAGCAGGTAATGCACCAGTGAGATTGTTGTTCTCCAGATGTCTGCATGTTTTTTTACCACAAACAGATTGCAATATAAATGAGAAAGTAATTTTTTTTTACAGAATGTGATTAAATGCGGGCTTTGAGCGAGCGAAGAACTTACAAAACTCTCAAATTGATAAGATTGCTCATGTCTGGGATTACTCCACAGAAGAAATTTCCATCCAACCACCTACATTAGTTAAAAGCCACCGGATTATACAAGCAAAAAATAACTAAATAAATAAATTTTACAAATCACAACTCTACACAAGAAATGGGAAGGATTGCACTCACAACTCTGTCAAAGCTTCCATGTTATTGATCACTTGTGGAATTTCACCCTTTACCTTCTTTCCTGATAGTGCACTGTTAAAAGCAGTCATTACGGAGTGATATCTAATACTCCCTCTGTCTTAATGTAATTCTCCGCTTGCTCTTTGGCGCATGGACTAAGAAGATGTGAACAAATGGGAAAGGGGACCTAAATACTCTTACTTTATGGTGGGACTTTTAATAAGTGGTGTTGAGAAGGGGAAAAAAAAGACAACATGACATTTATACTTTGCCACAAATGGAAAGCGAACAAATACATTGGAATGACCTAAAAAGGAAAAGTGGACAAAGAAAAAGACCCCAAAGAACACTCACTCACATTTTGGTTATTCTTGGAGGTGTTGTTGTGCTGCACTTCACCCATTCCCATTGTGTGGGAATGCACGGGTCCCCCCACCCTTCTGTCGCCTCACTTTCCATTGACACCGATTTTATGGCTTCGAGAGCGTTCACTTCCATGTAACAACATCACATTTTGTTAGATTGATTCTGTGAAATTATTATAGGAATCATAAAACCTAGCTCAAATATACGGTGTTTTTTTTTTACAAAAATGGTTAACAAGATCACACACAGTATTACCATCTCCTCCATCTGTCTTGGCAGCAATCTTTACATATTTGCTTATTTCCATTGCATTCAACAAGGGACCAAGAGTAGAGTCATGGGTCTTTGCAAAGGCAAAAGAAAATATAAACTCAAGCGAAACATTCATGTAGCTAGGTTCATAGAGAGTGTAACTCCCATTGGCATTCTCATCTATGTTGACCACAGCGTTGCTGTAGTCTGGAATATAAGGCTGCTCCATTTTAAA